AAAGGGGATGGGGCGTCCAAAATTGGCGGGGCCGCGGCCCCTCTGGAGCCGGGGGTGACCGTGGCTCTGCTCCTCCCCTCCAGCCCAGAGTTCCTGTGGCTCTGGTTCGGTCTGGCCAAGGCCGGCCTGCGCGTCGCCTTTGTGCCCACCGCCCTGCGCCGCGGCCCCCTGCTGCATTGCCTCCGGAGCTGCGACGCGCGCGCGCTGGTGCTGGCGCCAGGTAAGGCTGCCGCACGCGATTGGCGGGGCGGGGCCAGCTGCCGAGAGGGGCGTGGCGAGGAGGGGCTCCCGCGGTTCAGAAGTGGGCTTCTAGATTTGCTAGAAGATGGGGCTGAGTGTGGTCCCCTCCGATGCATGGGGCTCCCCGTGGTCCCAGTCCCCGCTGGTTGGCCCTACTCGTCATCCTCCCCCAAGAGTGCCGGGAGGCAGGCTAAGGGTGGGGAAACTTGTTGGGAAGCGGCAAAGCCGCGGAGCTGCCTTTCCCTCCCCGCGCAGAGTTCCTGGAGTCCCTGGAGCCTGACCTGCCGGCCCTCAGAGCCATGGGGCTCTGCCTGTGGGCTGCAGGCCCGGTCACCTCGCAGGCTGGAATCCGAGATTTGCTGGCCGTAGCCTCCGCTGAAGTGGATAGACCAGTGCCGGGGTACCTGTCGGCCCCCCGGAACATCATGGACACGTGCCTGTACATCTTCACCTCCGGCACCACGGGTGAGAGAGAGCTGGACACCCCGTGTTTCCCTCCCAAAAGGCTGAGAAACAGACTTCAGCTCCTGGAGATACCCCACCTCCAAATACCCCCCAGGGAGGATGCTGATTCCTCCACTGTCTCCTTTCCCCACAAACTGCCCCCATTTCCACAATAGCCCTGGCTCTCCTCAGCTTCTCCTGCCTCGCTGCTTTTTGTGGTCGTGGGCGACAGAGCAGGGAGCAAAGAGGGAAGTGGGGCCTGTGGTTTAAACCCTCCCACCACCCCCTGCCTGCCATCCCACAGGCCTTCCCAAGGCTGCTCGCATCAGCCATCTGAAGATCCTGCAGTGCCAGGGCTTCTACCGGCTGTGTGCCGTCCACCAGGAGGACGTGATCTACCTGGCCCTCCCACTCTACCACATGTCTGGGTCCCTGTTGGGTATTGTGGGCTGCCTGGGCATCGGTGAGCCTCCCCTCTTTCTCCCCCATACCCTTAGAACCCCAAATGTGTGTGTGTGTGTGTGTGTGTGTATTTTCTCCAGTCTGTTTCAGTACCTCGCATGGACTGGCCTGGGCCTGCTTCCTGCCCCCCCCACACACACCCTCCACACCCCTCCTGGGTCAATGGGTAGGCTGGCCAGTTCTGAGATCCCCAGGGTCGCAGGGAGGGAAGGAACTACAGGAGGAGCTGGGCTGGAGGTGGAGGTACCAAAGTTGGGGTGACTCTGCATTCAGCTCTCCACGGTGCAGGTGGGAACAGCACAGGGTCCACGTGGCCTACCGAGAGGCCAGCCTCACAAGCAGGTCCCTCACAGGGCCCCCGCACACAGTGAAGGCCTGGTGGCTGGGAATGTATGGGTCATGCGGGCATCCTCCTGAAGCCCAGCCCTTGCCCCTTCCTTCCTCCTCTCCCTCCTGCTTCTGGCAGGGGCCACAGTGGTGCTGAAGTCCAAGTTCTCAGCTGGCCAGTTCTGGGAGGACTGCCAGCAGCACCGGGTGACAGTGTTCCAGTACATCGGGGAGTTGTGCCGATACCTTGTCAACCAGCCCCCGGTGCGTGGGCGCAGAGGGGAGATGGGTCAGAGGGAGGGGACAGTTGACAGCCTGAGACAGGGCCCAGCCTAGGGCCAGCCGGAGATAATAGCAGGGAGGGCTGAGGGGCCTGAGATGGTGTGGCATGTCCGGGACACGTGAAGGTATGGGGAGCGGCACGTGGTGCTGAAACGGTGTCCCCCTCCACCCCGTCACAGAGTGAGGCCGAGCGTGGCCATCAGGTCCGGCTGGCAGTGGGCAGTGGGCTGCGCCCGGACACCTGGGAGCGTTTTTTACGGCGCTTTGGACCGCTGCAGGTGCTGGAGACGTATGGGATGACAGAGGGCAACGTGGCTACCTTCAACTACACAGGACAACAGGGCGCCGTGGGACGCGCCTCCTGGCTTTACAAGGTGAGGGGCTGGGAAGAACGTGCTAGAAGTTGGGCAGAGGGAGCTGGGGGCTCGTGCCAACTGAAATGACCCAGTCCTGGTTACCTTTCCCCAGCGCCTCTTCCCCTTCTCCTTGATTCGCTATGATGTCACCACAGGGGAGCCGGTTCGGGACACCCGGGGGCGCTGTGTGGCCACGTCTCCTGGTTGGTGCTCCGGTCGGGTGGGTAGAGGTGGTGAAGCCGGCTGAGATTGGGCTGGGGGGCTGGGGGCAGGAAGCTCTGGGCAAGGTAGGCAGCCACTCCTGACCCCCGTGACTTTGCCAGGTGAGCCGGGGCTGCTGGTGGCCCCGGTGAGCCAGCAGTCCCCATTCCTGGGCTACGCCGGGGGTCCCGAGCTGACCAGAGGAAAGCTGCTGGAGGGTGTCTTCCGCCCTGGGGACGTTTTCTTCAACACTGGGGACCTGCTGCTCTGTGATGACCAAGGCTTTCTCCGCTTCCACGACCGGACTGGGGACACCTTCAGGTAGCTGTCCGTGGCTTCCGGATTCTTGGTCCTTGACATCAGATGTCTGGGACCAACCGCAGCCCCCAAACCTGCACTCCATGAGCCCCACTCCCCATCTCAGCTCTCTTCCTCAAACGGCTTAAGCCCATCAACGCCAGGCAGTCTGGCATCCTGGCCCCTGACCTAACCTTGATCCCTCTCCCTGGCTTAGCTCATGAGGCCCTGACCCCTCACTCACACTCCGGAATTTCTGCTCTCTGGCAGGTGGAAGGGGGAAAATGTGGCCACCACCGAGGTGGCGGAGGTCTTAGAGGCCCTAGACTGCCTTCAGGAGGTGAACGTCTACGGAGTCACTGTGTCAGGTGCTGGTGTGGGAGATGGGGGAGGCACGCAGCACACCACCCTGAGGAGGTGACAGCTGGGCGCAGGGAGTGTGAGGGCCTCATGGTCTGCCATGGCAAGGCTCACTGCCGCCAACCCTCCAGGGCACGAAGGCAAGGCTGGAATGGCAGCGCTGGTACTGCGGCCCCCCCACCGTTTGGACCTGGCACAGTTCTATGCCCACGTCTCTGAGAATCTGCCACCATATGCTTGGCCTCGGTTCCTAAGACTCCAGGTAAACCAGCCCCACCTCGTTTGGCCCCCGCATGGCCCCACACCCCACAAAGGGGCCCCACAACACACTGAAGAGGAAGCCCGGTCCCTTGCCAGATCCCTGCTTCATCCCTCCTGCCTCTGTGTCCCCTCCATCACCCCGTCTGGCTCTTTCTCTTCCCTGTCGCTGCTCCCCCAACCCTGAATCCCTGTCTCCATGCCCTAAGCTTGCCCCCCGACTTTCATGTCCCTTTAGCCCCCTTGGCTGCTCTCTCCTTCTCCCCAGGAGTCTCTGGCCACCACTGAGACCTTCAAGCAGCAGAAGGTCCGCATGGCAAAGGAGGGCTTTGACCCAAGCTCACTGCCCGACCCACTCTATGTCCTGGACCAAGCTGCAGGTGCCTACCTGCCCCTCACACCTGCCCGGCACAGTGCCCTGCTGGCCGGGGACCTTCGCATCTGAAGGCCCCTCATGTCCCAGGGGCTGTGGAGGGGCCCTGCAGGAGGCCTGGGCACCAGTGACCATTTCTATAGGGGATTTGTACTCATCATTTTGTAATAAAGGGGATCAGAGCCCATTTGGCTGTCCTTCCAGTCGGCAGTCTCCCTCCTTGCGCTTCTCCCGGGGACCTGTCCATCTGCCTGCATTCCTGCCATTGACAGCACGGGGCCTGAGGAAAGGGCCGGGCGGGTCCTCTCAAGGGACCCCCTCTGGCCTCTGGCCTCAGAACCCCCTGGTGATTGATGTCTGTCGATGCCAGGGTCTCCCCTTTAACTGGCAGCCTCTGAGGATCCAAGGGTTGTTGCCTCCAGTGGCCCAGATGGACAGGTGGAAACGCTGCCCCCTGTGGCAGTCCACACTGCTCTACAGAATCAGGTGTGATCAGGGGCTGGGAGAGACTCAATCAGCAAAACCCACTGGGTTTCTACACCCTCTATACCCCTCCTAGATAAGCCAGGCAGGGGCAGGGGGCTGGGAAGAGGCAGAGAATTGGGCCTGATTGGCCCCAAATCTTAAGCTATTTTCCAAAGGAGCAGCCCAAGTGGGGGCCAGCCCGTAACTTCTGGGTGTGGAGAGTTTGAGGTGTGTGTGGTGGGGGAAGGAGCAAGATGGTGGGAAGCCAGGTTAAGAAAACTCACCTGTGTGAGGAGCTCAACATGCCCATGTAAACACTTGACGTGATTAGAAGCCGCCTTGTTTCTCCCACTCAGTTAATGTCGTCCCTGGATTTTCAGGAGGGACGAAGGGGTTGGTAGAGGAGCAACACAACGAGAACCCAAGGTTGCTTCCCGAAACAACGTAGCCCCACCCCTGCCCTGGGCAGAGGGAAGATGGACAGCTTCCTTTGGCCTTTGCTTGGCCTCGGAGGGAGGCTGAATCCTAGCTCCAAGGAAGAAAACTGCCCATGGGGGTTTCCAAGACTGACTTTACAGGAGTAGAAAGCCTCAACTTTCTCCCAGAGTGGCTCATGGTTTTGAACTGCTGACCTTACAGTTAGCAGCCCAAGGCATAACCACTATGCCACCAGGGCTCCTTCACTTGTGTTTGTCACTTATAAGTGCAGAATACCGACGACAAAGGCAGGTGAATCTAAGCCCAGAATGCCAGGGATGGCCAGTAGCTACGAGAATATATTGGGCTCACACCTAAGTACTCTCGTGAGGCCCAGGCGTGCTCCGTTCTGTTGTACAGAGTGGGTGCTGCGGGTAGGAACTGAGGCAACAGGCGCAACTACTAGAATCTCGATGTGTTACCCTTGAGTTTCCGTGGTGCCACGTGGTGGCAGTTTATAGTCCTCAAGTGGGACAACCCTTCTGATTCTCCTTTTCCGTCAACCCCCTTTCTCTTAAGCTTTCCTTGTAATCTTACAGGTTATTGTGCGTTTTATCTCGGCTGCAGGGGAAGGGTAAACTGCTAGCCGCCAGGTGGGCAGCTCAAACCCATGGCGGATCCCAGAGGGAGACTGTCTACTCCCATAAGTGTCCAACATTCCAGAAGCAGCATACAGGTCACCGAGTCAGTAGGCACTCAGTGGCAGGGCCTGGGTGGGTGTTTGGGTTTTTATGGTTCCGTTTTAAGATGACCTCACAAGATATTTTTGGTTTACGTTTTTAAAGATTTCCTCCAGGGAGTAAGTTCCAGCGGTTCACCCATCCTCCCTCCCTGGCTCCAGGAAGTCTAGAGTGCCTGAGCATTTGGAATCCTCTACATTCCCTCCCTTTTGATGAGGATTCTATGTGCTCTTTGATCCACATGTTCTGTAACAGCTGGGCATCAGTTAGTTCTTCCGGTCTCCTGGCAAAGGCGGCAGTTGTTCGGGGAGGCAATTAGCCACACACTGCCCATCCAGTTCCTGGCTCTTCCTGGGCCTCCAGGGGCACCGAAAGGGCGTACACGAACTTCAGGTCCCGTGTCCGTACTTGGCAATGGCAGTCTGCGCCAGCCCAGCCCACTCCAGGGCCTTGGCGAGCCCTCGCTGCGTCCTTCCCTACGAAGGCCGGGCGGGAAGGCCGGCACGCACGGACGCTCGGCTGCGCCCCGCTGGCCCCGCGGGGAGGGCCCGAGAGGCCCCGTCAAGTGACGCGTGGACACGAATCTCTGCGAAATTCCAAAAACGCATCAAAGTTTCCACCTTCGGGGCTCCGAGACGAGTGCAAGGCAAAAAACCCCAAAGGGGAAGACAGCGCCTAGGCACCGAAACGCCCCACAACCTTCGCGACGCTGCGCGCTAGGGCGGGGCGGCGAGGCGCGCCTGCGCGAACTGCGCCTCGGGTCCGGAGCGCGGAGGACTGACCCAGCCATCTCCCGCCGCCCACGGGCCGGGCGGAGGAGGGGGCGGGGCCGTCCTGCGGGGGCGGGGCGAGCGCCTCTGCGCCCGCCCGACGCAGGAGAGACGCCGGCCTGGGCTTCACGGGAAAGTGGAGAAGTAGGGGCCGGAGTGTTGCAACCCCTAGGATGCAAACTGCGTGGGTGAGCATATTTTTTGAGACACAATTCATATACCATGAAATTCACCTCATTAAAGTTCGTGGTCTTGTAATATAGTCGCCGAATTGTCCCCAGGTTGTGATGTGTACTGGGCGCACTCAGCAGTGGCATAGGACAGGCTAAAACTGCCCGGGGTGGGTTCCCAGGCTGCGATCCGTGTGGGAGCAGAGAGCCAGGTCTTAATCCGAAAACCCCGCCAAACCAACCGGCTTTTACAGAAGTCCTAGAGGGCAGCGTTCACAGGAGCAGGCCACCCCAACTATACCCTGAAGATTGGCTGGTGGTTCAAAGGCCGATACTGCACCCCCTACACACCAGCGCTCCCGCCGCCCGCAGTGGTGCCCAGTGACGCGCGATGACCCCACGCACAGCTCAACCAAGTACCCCGGTCCTGTGCTCCCCCAGGATCGCTTTCAGGAGTAACTGTTGTCATCCATCGGATTTTCATTGGCTGATTTACAGGTCCCCGGACCTCCTGCCTGTCACCCCGCCCCTCCTCCTCAGGCAATCACTGATCTACTTTCTGGTTCTATGGATTAACCTAGCCTGGATCTAATTCTGGTCATTTCCTATCAAGGGAACTATACAGTACGTGGCCTTTGGGGTCCGGTGTCTTTTCCTTGGCATAGTTTTTTAAGGCGCATCCATGCTTTGCACACCATTGTGCAAATACACCGCCTCTCGTCAACCCCTTCCTCAAGTGATGGGCACGTCGGTTGCCCCCACGCCGTGGTGGGTCTGAATAAGGCTGCGAGGAACGTTTGGGTACAAGTTTTGGTGCAGATGTAGGTTTCCATTTCTCTTTGGGACATACCGTAAAACCAGCTACAGCTTGAACCTCTGTAAGGCAGAAACCTGTCAGAGAAGGAAAACCCAAAGAGTTCCCGCTAAAACGGTGATAGAAGAAGCGGCCGGACGGCACCCAGTCAAAAGGAGAAACATGAGAGGTCCCTTGGCTCCCTGCGTCTCGCGCTTCAATGTACTAGAGTAGAGTGGCTGTGTCCTGTAGCCCCGGTAGGGGCTTGACTACTAGCTGAAAAGTTAGTGGCTCGACCCACCGGTCGGGCCCCAAAGTGTTGCATCTGCCTATGGGAGGTTGTTCATAAGCCTTCCGCTGATCCCGATGCCACGCTCTTCTTCGCAGCATCCACCTTCTATGATGGTTTGCTCAGCATACAGCTTGAATACGATGGTAAGAGGGTGCGATCTTGACGCACACCTTTCCTGATGTCAACTAGGTCTTCACTCCCGGTTCCTTTGCGTAACTGCCTCTGATCCGTGGGCAGGTGGTGCGCGCGCACCGCGAAGTGCTCTCCAGCCCCTTTCTCTTCCAGGTTTCCACGGGTCACTGGGACACACGGTGGAATGGCTTGGCACACATCGTCGATAAAGCACAAGTAAACCTGTCTCTGGTACGCTCTGCTTTGAGCCAAGATCTATCTGCCATCAGCAATGAAATTGTTTCACATCCTCTTCTGAATCCTGCCCAAACCTTGCCAGCTCCCGTCAGCGTTCTCAGGGTAGTGAATGAGCGTCAGCAATATTCTGCTTGCATGTGACGTCGGTGACAGCGTTCTAGAGTTTGAGCATTCTGTTGGGTGTCTTTCTTTGGAATGGATATGAATCACCCACTTTGTGACGCATGTAACTACTGAATGTGCGTGTCTTAAGGCTACCTAGAAATGTCCCACGGTAGTAAAGGCCGGCTCTCACTTCTCCCAGTTCCACGTGGACCATCAAGAGGCGCTGAGGTGAGCATGCTACCATAAATGTGTCTGCCTCCTTGATTGTATTCTCTCTCCTATCTTTCTTATCCTCTACAACTTTACTGTGATCTTTATATATCATTGCCGTACATTTGCACCTTCTGGCTCTTCTTGTTAGAGACTGCTTTCCTCTGACAAATGGTATTTTTGTTTGTTTATTTCATTTCTTCTTAGGGAAAAACCAAGAGATTTTTCCCAGACAGCAAATAGGTAAATTATAATTCTACGAAAATAAAAAGAAAATAGATAAGTTATACTTCCACCAAAAACAAAACAAAACAAAAAACTTTCCTGGCATTAATAGCAAAATTAAAAACAAAAACCAGCAAACAATGCTGGGCAGGGTGTGGAGAGACTGTAAACTTCCCACGCTGCTGGTGCGGTTGTACAGCAGTAGACTCGCGATGAAAGGCAGCACGGCGCTTCCTCGGAACGTTGGAAGCAGAAACACCGCATGACCAGATCCCTCTGAGGGGTGTATGGCCTAGAGAAATTAGAGACGTGAGTGGAAGAGGCTATACGTGCGCCCTTGCCTGTGGCAGTGCCATGCACGATCGCAAACAGGTGGAAACAGTGCAAAGGCCATCCGTGGAAGGCTGGGTAATCTAACCATGGCGCGCGCGCGCACACAGTGGGGCTGCGGAAAATTAGAGGATAAAGACCCATCTCAAAACTCCTCTTCCCATGGATGAACCTGGAAGACGTTATGCTGATTGAAATGAGTTGGACAAAGGCACACACAGACAAACGTGGTAAAACATTGAGAACAAGGGTTTCACAGCAAAAGAGACATTCTTTGAGGTTTACCAGGGGTGGGAGGGGAAGGTCGGGGAAGTTACGCTCTAGCGAGTGGAGCAGGAAGTTCCGGGCAGTTTCCTTCTGCTGCACGCAGGGTCACTGTGCTGGGTTGGACTCACCGGGCCCTAACAACAGCGGCAGCAGCAACAGAAGGCAGACTTGGGTAACTTGGGTTGAGGGGGGGGGGGGGCGGTAATATGCAATTAGAGGAGGTTGGCTAAAAAAAAAAACAAACCAAAATGACTAAGAGTAAGAGTGAAAGGCAGCAGAGATAATTGCTGTTCTAGACACAAGCCTGTATGTAAAAACAGGTACCTTAGACATACAGGCTGAACAGGTGTGAGAGGAAGAGTTGGGATATACCCACAGATTAGATATATATTTATTAAATATAACAAATTTATTAAGTATAAATATATATATTTACCTTTGTTGCAAATGTAGCCATGTATTTAGTGGAGCACACAGGAGGCCACGTTATGCAAACTTCGACCAAACACCTGAGGGAATAGGGTCTGGGGGTGCAGGACCATAGCATCAGATGGCCCCAAGGTCAATTGACCCAACATCGGCCACAAAGACAATGTCCTACATCCTACCTGGGTGAGTAGGGACTGGGGACTTCAACCCTCATGAATGGTTATCTGAAATGCAACTCTTGGTCTCTCCTTGTTCTGAGTTAAGACTGTGATGAACATTGCAGACAGATGGAAACAGCTCGTCCAGTGGGCTAGTGGACCACATGGACATCAGTCTCCATGACCCTGAAACCAGAAGGACTAAGAGTGTCAGGCTACCACTGTCAGTTGCTCAGAAAGGGATAATTTTTGTTTTAAATCATTTTATTGGGAGCTTGTACAACTCTTAACACAATCCATACATACATCCATTGTGTCAAGCACATTCGTACATTTGTTGCCATCATCATTCTCAAAACATTTGCTTTCTACTTGAGCCCTTGGTATCAGTTCCTCATTCACCCCCCCTTTCTCCCCCTCCCCCCTTCCTCATGAACCCTTGATAATTTATAAATTATTATTATTTTGTCATATCTTATACTGCCCGACATCTCCCTTCAACCACTTTTCTGTTGTCCATCTGCCAGGGAGGAGGTTATATGTAGATCCTTATAATCGGTTTCCCCTTTCTACCCCACCCTCCCTCGTATTGCCACTCTCAGCACTGGTCCTGAAGGGATCATCTGCCCTGGATTCCAGAAAGAGATAACTTTGGAAGGTCTGTTAGGTTGCCGGATAGGGAGTTGTCCCTCTCTATGCCAAGGTGCCCCTACAGGAGGTTGCTGCAAAGAATCAGGTGAGCCCAGCCAGCCATAAAGTTTAGAGGGCATGCACAAATTCAGGCCTTTGAGACAGGAAGCCAGTACACCTGGGAGGGCCCCAATCTAGGCCAGGTGGGCTTAATTCAGCCAATGGGTCAACCAGTACCATAGACCCCGCCTCCCAGCAGAGGGCCTGAAAAACCAGGATCAGAAGTCCACCTCGCTCTTTTCCAGCTGCTCCTCCTCCGGCCTCAGGTCTCCTTGGGTCAGGGGGAAGTGCCCTGAGGGAAGTGCCCTGAGGGTGCCTGCGTAAGACCTGGAACTTCCTCTGTCCTTTGTAAAACACACTGGGATCACAATCCAGGCTTTGGTGTGAATTCTTTCTCCTGCAAAGCCAAGGATCTGGTATTTCTCACCCAAACCCATCTGCAGAGTATGCAGTCAGACTGAGCAGCTGGCAGATCCCCTCCAGCCACAGGCAAGGGTCTCGAACAGCTTCACATCAGGAAGAGATCACCGCAATCTTGATTATGCTGGATTGAACTTGATACCCGGTCGGTTGACCTTCCTCTTTCCCAACCTAGACATTGTTCTAGGTGCAAGTATGCCTTGCTTGATCCATGACAAACATTTCTTCCCTGGCCTTTTAAATACTGATAGTGGGCTTTTCTTTCTCCCTTTTCATTTGTACTTTTATCTTTATATTATGATTTTATCCTATCCTACTTTATCCTGTACTTTGTTTCTGTTTTTATTGTTTCTGCTGGGTTTTCCAGTTTGTGAAGCACAGAAGGAGTAGATGCATAGAGATAATGACTGAGGCAAGGATTTGCAGGGCTGGGGGTGGGAGAAGGGGAGGGGGAGGGAGTTGAGGAAGCAAACAATGTATGCAGGAAGGGGAGGGAGCACTAGAACTGACAATGATTACACAATTCATTTTAAAAGCAATTGAACGATGAAAACAAAACAAGAAAATGTTCAAAATGTATTTGGGTGATGATTGCATAATTCCTGATGTTATTGAACTATTGAATTGTCTGATATGTGATTATGTGCCAATGACACGTGAAAGGGAACAAAGCATGGGCAGGTACGTGCACCCGCGTGCTCATCACAGGCTAGTCACAACAGCAAGAAGCTACAAGCAACCTCAATGCGCATTGGAAGAACAGAACGAAACTTTGGTGCACATACACCATGGAGTCATGATGACGCCAGGAAGCACCCAGGACGACATGCGCGGATTGGGAGGACATTGTACTGGGTGACGTTAGTTAATCAGTCACAAAAGGACAAATGTACGAGGCCACTGTTATTTTAAAAATCAACACAAAGGTTTTCACACCATGGAAAAGAAACAGATGATGGTTGTGTTAATCCGGGCAGACTAGAGAAACAAATCCAGGGAGACTCATGTGTATAAGAAAGAGCTTTATATACAACAGCAGCTGAATATTGAGAAAATATCCCAGCCCAGTGTAGATCAAGTCCATAAGTCCGGTACTAGCCCATATGTCCGATACCATCCTATAAAGACCTCTTCAGACTCACAAAACACATGCAAACGAATGCAGAAAGATCACAAGCCAGTGGGCAGGAAGTCTTGTGAATTCAGTAACGTTGTAAGCATCTCAGCGCTGGCAGGGGTCTCCATGTGGCTGCTCCAGCTCCAGGACTCTAGTGTAGCTCCGTGTGCCTTGTGAGCTGCAATGCCTCCCAGGAAGTGAACCTGTGTCCCGCCTCAAATGAACTGTTCTTCTCCTTAGGGCCTCCAAATGAGGTCATCAAGTTGCAATTGATAAGTAAACTCCACTCCTTCATTCGTAAATGTCAAATTGACAACAGAGTGTGCAGCTACCACAGTGGGTTTAGCAGGGGGCAGCGAGGAAGGTAGCAGCAAGGAGACTGTAACAACTGGGTGAAGGGAAGAGAGTGTTCCCTGAGGGATGACTCAAGGGAGAGCAGACAAAAGGTGGGGAGAGAACAGGTGAGTCATAGGAAGGGTTGATACGTTGTTGGAGTTGTGGAATAAAAAATGATGATCTGATGTGCAAACTCCCACCTAATTCACAATAGAAAAATGTTTTGTTTTGTTAAAGAAAGAAAGCCCTTCTTTCTCCGTCAGAGCAGGCGGTGGGTGCCTTCAAACTGCTGACTTTGCAGTTAGCAGCCCAACACACAGCCCGGATGCCACCTGGTCTCCTTAAAGAGAAATAAGGATCTAACGGGTAGTTTAGGTGCTAATAATACTACCAGCATCATCACTTAACGCCGTTTTCTAGCCCACGGTAGAAGAATGCAGCCGTGAACCCAGTGGAGGCCCTGAGTGGCACACACGGCTGGACTGAACCAGGAGGTTGTCAGTACAAGTCCCCTCAGATGCACCTCTAGTGATCTGCTTTCAGGAGGCCACGGCCTTGACCTCCCAGGGGAGTGTAGCTCTAGTGGTCAGCAGTCAGGGCACCAGGAGTCAGAACGGCCAGGTGGTTTCACGGAAGTTTATTCATTTCCTTTTCTTTTTTCAGGAACCAATGTTTCCAGAACAAGAGAAAAGTGTAAAATAAGTCAAAGTCCCTGTAGTGTCTCTAAAAAGGCCTAGCAGCAAAGGCAATTCAGTACCAAGGAGCAGCTACTTGGAGGGAGTGTTGACTCGGGCCAAAGCAGGAAATACTCCAGATGAGCCCAGGGCCTGTAGCAGCAAAGGATGCACAAGTGCGGTTGCCGGGGGAGAGGGCCAAGCGGAGCCAAGCGGAGACGCAAAGAGCAGTGAGGATAACAATGTAACCTTCGGCAGATACTAAGAAAAAGGGGAGAGAGGGAGACGTGGATACCAGTGGGAGTTGAGCACTACTAGCTCCTTGGAAAAGCCAGCACTAAGCATTCTTCCTTCTTTACTGGATGAACTGCATTGAAAACAAAACCTTGCCAACAAGCTCACTGCCATCGAGTGGGCTCCCACGCACAGCGCCGTCCCTGTGAGTGTCCGAGACTGTTAGTGTGTGTGTGTGTGTGTATTGCTATGCGTTCCTACATATGAAATCCAGGATAGGTAAATCTATAGAGTAATGGAATTAATGGCTTATTGGGGGGTGGAGGGGGTGGCAGGGGAGGTTGGAGGGAAATGGGGAGCTAATAACAATGAGCACAAGAAGGAAGAAATTGTTCTAAAACTGTTGTAGAGATGATTGTACAACTCTTTTGAATATGATTGAACCATTGAAGCGTATGATATGTCAATTATATGCCAAACAACTATTTTAAAAATAAGGGAAGAGGGAGCGGTATAGGGGGGCAGAGATGGGGAAGAAAAAAGAGACCAACAAATAAACAACAACAAAAAAATATATGAAATATAAATCAGAGATTATTGGAAGTTGTCAAAAGTTAAATGGAACACTAAGAAATTGATTTCCTAGGCTTTAGTACCCTGAAATGGACCAGTACTGGCCATTTTATTTATTTTAAATCATTTTATTGGGGCTCTGTGTTAGACAGGGTTCTCTAGAGAGATAAAACCAAATTGCTGATAATTTAATATATATTTATTTATAAAGATAATTAGATATATAATAAGAAA